GCAGAAAGATTCAAGATTTTTTTATTGAAGCTGTCTTTCAAGGTCACCCTTGAATAAGTATATAATGAAGCTGCTGCCTATTTTCAGCTTGCACCCACATAGTAAGCTAGTTCATCCATAAACCTAGTTCAAGCTTTTCCCTCTTCAGCTAGTCCCACAGGTCTTCCAAAAACCACGGGGAGGGAATGAGGGGTGTGGCTGCAACCATGATGCCATGGGGTTTGGGCCACCTCTCATGTGGCTTGCTTATGTGTTCTGGTCCTGCTCATAATTCCTCCTGGAGGTATCATTTCCATCTCAGGATAGACCACTGCTGGTCCCACCACCTTTATGACTTGGTGGTTCTGATAGGACCTAGCTCATATGGGCAGTTCTGGATATAGATCATCACTTTATGTTTCTTGGTTTCATCTTAACCGGGGCTCAGTAGCACACTAAAAGCTGTTTTTCAAAAAGCATGTAATTCTCTCCTGCAATTAACATAGCCTTGTTTCAAGATCCCGAGGACTTGCATTGTGATTCTCCCCTTGGGTCTTGTCCTGAATTCCGACCTGCATTTTTTTTTTTTTTCCATCAACAACACCTCCGATACCATTGTGTTTGCCAGATCACATGGTCGAAGTTGCTAATTCCTTCATATTACTTTTGGGTCTGTTTCTAGTGATTGTTTTTTTCCCCTCTAATTATGGGTCATCTTTTTCTGTTTCTTTGCATATTTTTCTAGTAAATTTTTATTAGATGTTGGGAATTGTGAATGTTGAATTGTTTGCGGATAGATTTTGCTATATTCCTTTAAACAGTAGTGGGCTTTATTCTGGTGCACAGCCAAGTTTCTTGGAAATTGTTTAGTCCTTTCAGGACTTGCTTTTAAGCTTTGTTAGGGGAGCTCCAGAGAAGCCTTTGGTTTGGAGACAATTTAGCCTCACTACTAAGGCAATACCTTTTTGAGGACTCTACCCGATGCCCCATGCAGTATGAGTTATTTCCACTCTTGCCAGTGGAAACAAACTATTCCCAGCTGCATATATGATCTGTGAGTCACTGGTTCTACTACTTTCTAGTTGTTCACTTCTTGGATTGTATAGTTTCTTACACCTTCACATATCAGTTCTCAGCCAAGGACTCAAGGGGACTTACTGCAGATCTACAGAGCTCTCTCTGTGTATGTTTCTTCCTCGTTTCCTTTACGCTGCCAACAAATTCTACCCACCTTCACCTCCTCTAACACTGGTCTCTGTCTCCTCAACTCAGTGAGACCACTGCTCTCTGTTTGGCTCCCCACCCCCCAGCCCCCCACCTCCCTGCTTTGCTGCCTAGAAACTGGTTCCAAACCATGAGCTTGAACAATCATTGAACTTACCTTTTCCCCCTTCATTGCCTGGTTTCTGTTTTACCTAATGGCCAGCGGTGCATTCCTCTCCACCAGTATGCCATTATATCCAAACTTTTAATAATTATACAGCCTCCTTGTGCTAGGAGCTATCTGTGCATCACCTATCCACAAGGGATGGGAGCCTTATAACCAGCCTAGTAGTGAGTGACCCAATCTCAAAATGCTTTCTTACTGCCTATGATCTTGGGCCACTCTGATCCCAGTTGTGCTAGTTTGATGCCGAAGTGGTTAGGAGCATAAAATATATGTGGCCAAGTTATGCCTCTGAAAGGAAAAGGGAAAAGCAAGATTGGGGGGTGGGGGAGCTGTCAACTGCATTCTACATTACAGATCTGATAGTCTCTGCCAGCCCACCAGGGAGCTCCAGGGCAAATAATATTTATTGGAAGGGTCCTGAGTTGAGTAGAAATGGCTGGGTCCTTGTACCACCATCTTGCTGGTTTGGGCTGGAAAGTGCTAGAAAAAAGCTTGCTCCCATTGCCTGGCTCAGTCATAGGCCAGGTACCCCCCCTGAGAATAGTGTGTCCTTATCTTGAAATCCGCAGTGGACCTTGAAGGAAGTGACAGCTGGAGACATTAGCTAACCATACCTCTCAGAGCTGGGCAGCTGGTCCTGTCTTAAAGGTGGATCCGAGTGGCACACCCCCATGTGCCTGCCTGCCACCACTCCAAACCCCAGAAATGACTGCCTTTGGCCACAGTAACGAGTAAGTACCAGAAACGGTCGGTGACAACTTTGCATCAGTAACCTCGCCTCTAAACCAGGCTCCTAAATCACGGTACTCTGCAGAGGCCTCACTCTGGCAACTGCGCCTCCACAATCAAAGCTCAAAGTCAGTCCCTCAGTGCTTCTGAAAGTCCACTAATCCTTGAACTCTGTGCTTCCTAACCCTGTACAAGGTCAGCAGTTTTCATTGTTCAGGAAGATTGTGTCCTGTGAGCACAGCTGTTGCTCAGCAAGCAGGACTTGCTTTTTATTATGGGTGAACATGGCCTCTTCCTTTGACATTGTCGCCTCTGGCCTAGATGCTCCCCGACCCAGGCTATCATCTGACTGGCTTCTTCTCAGCACTCAAGTCTCAAAATCTCGTCCACTGAGAGGCCTTGCCTGACCCTCACTATGCGATGTCCACTGCACTCTGCCAGGCACACTCCATTCCATTTTCCCATTTCATTTGTATTTGAACTTCCTCACTCTCTAGAACGGAAATGCCATGAGAAGAGGAGCTGTCCTGCTCACTGCGCTGTTCTCAGCTGGAACGTGGACTAAATAGAAGAGTGAAAGACAGTGGACTCGATAATTTCAAAGTCACAGATGAGGGAGCATTTCTGCTCACCACCATATTCCAGCTCCTGGAACTTAGTAAGGACTCCATAATGACTTATTTAAGAATGAATGAAAAGAAATGACATTTCAATGAAATGTTTGGGGGGCGGGGGAAGCAAGATTTTTAGGGGGTTGAGTGATGACTAGAAAGGAACGAATGAATGCACTGAATTTAAACGAACTGTTTCAGAACTTTTTAAAACATATAATCTTGTGAAAAACCGACACACTTAGACAAATGTGGATGGCTCTGTGGGACGCACAGAGGTGGGTGGGCCTGCCCACCTCAGTTCCCTGTCATGGACCCTGAGATGCCTCCTTACAACCTAGGACTTCGAGGAAGCCCTTGGACAACTCTTTCCAGAGAAATCGGATAATCAAGGCAAGGGAGAGATGGGAAGTATTGTCCTATGTACAGGTCTAGGTAGCACTGGGATTTAATTTGGCGGGGTGGGGGGAGTGGTCAGGCAGAATGTGAGCTTGTTGGTAAGCAGAGTGATTGGAGCATGTGGAGGAGGACAGCCTGAAGATGAGAGGAGAGGAGCTAATATTAGACCAACAGCAAAGGTGGAAGTTTTAGCCTTAGAAAAGAGTCTAGATTTTTCTAGAGATAAGAAAAATCTCAAAGAAATGTTACTCAGGGACATTTCATAATCAGTGCCAGCCACGTCATTAAAATAACTGATTCAATGCCATTGGAAATACCCTCTGGATTCATCACTTTGGGGCTGAAAAATGTTTTAGTTTATGATTTTTGGAAGAGGAGGGAAAAATAGGACTCCCTGGACTCAAAATTGATTTTTTTATTGAATGTGCTTCATATTACAACTAAATCTTGGTAATCAGAAATATGCTTCTCTCATTTAAAATAGGATTTATTGCATAAGGGATGCCTATTTTATATAAGACTATCGAAGAAACGTTAGGAATATTTACCTCATACCAGTAGAGGCTAGTGCTGTGAACATTCATCCGAAGGGCTGGAACTTGCCCTCCAGTTCATAATGATAAATGAGCTAAAAAAGAAATTTAATGTCCCTTTGGCAAGCATAAAACTGCAAAGGGTCAATAAATGATCAATGCAAGTAGATACCTTTGGATAATAATTGCCTGGGATTTTAAATTTTATATCCATAATAATTCCAAAACCAGAGAATCTAGCTTGTTTTGTATCAAAAATTACAGTCTAAAGGTACCTCTGAGGTCATAATCATATTGATTATGCATGATATGCAAGATAAGCACCTCCGTAGAGTCCCAGCCCCTACTGTTCCTGGCTATCTGTGACAGCATGGACCTAGGGGTCAGACTGCCTGGGCTCGAATTGGCCTGTCCTTAGTTTCATCTAGGGCAAGTGACTTAACACCTCTGTGCTTCAATGTCCTCATCTGGAAAATGGAGATGATACAAGGTGGCACATTGAGTTGTTCTGAGGGTTGAATGTGGAAAATCAGGTGAAGCAGTTGGAATGGTGCACCTAAAAGGCAATCGGTAAGTATCCACCATGGAAACCATTAACTATAGGTCTAATAGTCCACTGTGTCCAGGTTAGGGAGATTAATTTTAAGAGATATTATATAATGTTGGAGTTGAAGGGACCTTAAGCATCATCTGGTCCCATCCTCTTATCCATTGGATACTCAAATCTCTCATCTAAATGACCATGTGGTACCTGCTTAAACCATAGTGGCGGGAACTGGAAGTAGGGTCATTCGTGGGCAGCTATAACTGTTGGGAAGTCACTAAGCTCCAGCCTTTTCTTCTTCACTCCCATAACCATCGTCCTCTAGGAGTCCACAGTAAAGCTAACTGCTCTTTCCGTGACAGGCTTCCAGGTATCTGAATGTGACTTTATCGTCTCCAGGACAAGCATTTTACAACATAACCACATGAGGGTTTCAACCTCCTTGATTTTGCAGCAACCCATTCTTTCAATAACTTAACTTTTTAATAATCACTCTCTTCAATCATTTTTATACAATCTCCAGAAATACTACATGCATTTTAGTGATTGTATACATTTCTTCAGGAAAAAATATGCCTTTATTGAGTATCAAAATAAGGTAAGAAGTTTCTAATTTCATAAATTTATTCTTTGTCACGGAACATCGACACTTTTGGGTACTCTGAGAGTTTTTCTTGTGTGGCGGGGCAGTGGGCAGATGGGGAAGAAGACTCAACAGAGACTGTAATAGTGGCAGCCACTAAAGACAATTTGAATTTTGTGTCCAACTGAACTTCACTTCTCCAGAACTGACAGCCTAGTAGTTCCACACGGGATAAATCTTTTTAACATTTTTATTGATAATACCTGGAGGGGTTAATATCCGACTGACAGAAATCCAAGTGGAAAAAGGAAATATGATTGTAATACATACAATGAAGGGGAAGTAATATGACATTTCCCTAGAGCCACATAAAACTAAAGACTACCAAGGTTATGATCGCTTTACGCATTTATAGAATATAGTCCTCCATTATGTGTGTATCTAGATAAAGCTTTAAAAAGGCACATTGGAAAAAGCTTAATCCAAAATAGTACTCTCAGGTAGAAGATACTAGACATACATTTTACTTTCAGGTAGTGCTGATATTTGTATTAAACAGAAGTTTAGCCCCTGGTGATACAACTAACTTTGATTTTCTCATTCATTTTCTTTGGAGGGTTCATTTTTCTGAATCAGCCACACTTCATTGTTTCTATTAAGCAAGTTGAAAGGACTGTTGTAGCCAGCAGTGTAGTAAACCTTTTCATCGAAAACTTTTCCTTCTTCCCTCAAAGCGCTTGCTAATGTCAAAAGTTGTTCTTGATTCTTTTGGGCACTAGAGAATCCATCGAAAGACCTACAAAGGAGAAAGTAAAGAACCATCAATGATTTTTAATAGCGATGCTAATGTCAGTCTGACGAGAAAAGCGGGACCTGATGCAATGAAGCCCAGTTAAATGCAGTTTCCAAGGTCCTCTCTCTCAGCCCCAGAGCAGTCCCTAACTCTGGTTCTCAGTATCAGTGTGGCCTCAGCACACTGAGGAGAGCCAGGAGGAGGCATAGGACCCATATGTTGGCAGGTAGATTTGGAATTTATACCATCTCGCGCTCTAACTCAGTGCTTCTAAAATTTTGATGTGCATTGGAGTCACCTGGGAACTTTGCCACCACGCAGATTCAGGATGTCTGGGAGGGGGCCTGACAGTCTATCTCTAACAAGCTCCTAATGATGCTGATGCTGCTGGTCAGAGAACCACACTGACACCCCTCTAGAAGCCTCCCTTCTAGACTTTCAATTTTCTATGGAACGTGTCCTTTTTCTTCCTCTCCTTGGGAAAAGAGTAGGCACTGATTTACAGATGAATATGACACAGTGTGACCCTATGAATTTATCATCTAAAAGGAGAGACAAACATTTTGGCAGCTCTCTATATATAGCTTGAGCAGAGATTGAGAGAGACAGGATCAAAGCGCTTAGGAACGCTGAGGACATATGATTAAATAGGGGTAAGGGGTGTCACCTGAGTTAGGTCTGGAATGGAAGGTGGGTTTGCTGGGCAGAGCAAGGGGAGGGATAAGAAAAAGGACAGAAGTCCAAAAATGTAAAGCATTTTCAGAGTGAGGCACAAAATGAAGCTCAAGAAGGTGAGTCAGAGCCAGAAGGATGAACCCTGTATATCATCCTAAGGCCTTTTCAGATTATTCTCAAAATATCTCAATATGATGTTGAACAGAACTTGATTAGATCTGAGTGAGACAGATGGAAAATAGATT